TTTGGGGTTTTGGGGTTTAGGGCTGTCTAAGGCCTTACTCTCAGTCATGCTATCTCTACTATGTAAGGAACTCGTAAATAGTAAAGGAAGGAACCCCTTTAAGGAACCCCGTAAAAGGACCCCTTCAAAGGAGCCCCTACTCTCTAAAGAACCTGTAAAGGAACCCCAAAGGAACCCCTTAACAGGCTTCAAAGGAGGCCGTAAAGAAACACTTGATACCTAGACCCCTAAACCCGACTTGGAGGATCATGGGACTTAGTAACTAGGGTTATAAATAAGGGAACTATAGTTATAAGTAATGATAACCCTAATTAAGGTAGCTATAACCGTAACTACTAAGTCCCATGATCCTCCAAGTAGGCCCTAAACCCTAAACCCTAAACCCTAAACCCTAAACCCCTCAAGTAAACCCTGACTTCAGGTCACGTCAGGAGCAGCAGCTCGGCCAGTTGGCCAGGCAGCGACGGCTCCGCCATGCGCGGGAAGGTCCCTTCCGGAGCCCTTGGGAGTGCTCCGAGACTCCAATATCCCTTAATTAAGGAATATACCTTAAGTTATAATAGGATCCCTAATATGATTTAAGGTATATTCCTTAATTAAGGGGTTTTGGAGGCTCTGGGTGCTCCGAGCTACTCAAGGGGTTTAGGGTTTTAGGGTTCAGGGTTTAGGGTTTAGGGTTTAGGGTTGAGGGTTTAGGGTTTAGGGTAAACCCTAAACCCTAAACCCTAAACCCTAAACCCTAAACCCCTAGTCTAAGGGGGTACCAGACTATCAGGTGTTTGTGAAGGTGTCGGCTCTTTGCAGGCTGGGTGGTGGCATTTTTGGGCTTCCTTGCTTCGTGCAGGATCGTTGAGGGCTTAGGGCTTAGGGTTTAGGGTTTAGGGTTTAGGGTTTAGGGTTTAGGGTTTAGGGTTTAGGGTTTAGGGTTTAAGGGGTTTAGGGGTTAGGGTTTCGTACAGTATCAGACAACCCAAAGCCTACCCTGATTGTTGATCAGCTGCGAGAGGGAGGAGAGCGTCCATCTTTCACTTCAGGGGCAGGAACAGCAGTGCACCCGTCCGCTTCGACCATCCTCGAGGTTTAGGGTTTAGGGTTTAGGGTTTAGGGTTTAGGGTTTAGGGTTTAGGGTTTAGGGGTATACTCTATCTTGGTACGCCTCTTTTTCGCCAGCGGTTGACTCTTTGCAACACCCTAGAGGCTCACACTTTGCAATTGCTTGGTGTTGGTGTGCATTTTGCACGACAGGCATGGAGACATAATATAGGGGCCTTGACAACTAGAACAGGGTTTTGGGGCCAAGATACTAAAAATAACAAGAATATAAATAACGAGAATATGACTATTATAATATTCTTAATAACAATACTAAGGAACCCCCAAAATAATACAGG